CTGTGGGCTATTCCCTCATTCCATAAAACACAGTCCATAAACTAATATTGAAAAGCAGAGGACTGAGTGAACTGGGCTGTTACACTGAAAGCATGAGTCACACACATCCCAGGGGCCAAGGCCTGCTAACTAAACCAAGGTGCTTTCAGAGCTGGCCATTTAATGAACCATAGGATCATAGTAGAGAGCAGAATGATGATGCTGAGTGTGGCAGGACAGGGACAATGAAGGTTGGTCCCATGCTTCATTGGTACCACTGATGCTCCCTGGCTCACCGGGTCATCCCTTCATTGATGCTGGCAACGAATCCTGCGATGGACCTCCGCCCAGCTGTGGTGTCATGGTAACAGTCGATGCCCACAATCATCGCCAGCTTCAGCTTTAGTGAAAACAGTGTCATTTAGCTGTGGCAGGTTTTGGCAGCCATGAGCAAGGCTCCTTTCCCTATAGGCCCACACAGTCCCACCCTGTCTCTGATGAAAGACTCACAGGCATGTCCACCCGCCAGAGTTCCCCACCCATCTTGCAGTTCATCTGCAGGGCAATCTTGGTGGCAATGGCCATAACTGTTTGCTGCTTGCCCAGCGTCCGGGCTACCACACATTGACTTGGAGTGGGGCAGTCTGTGCACAGGTACTTTTTGATGGCATCATATTTGTCCTTCCGATTACTTGACAACAGACAGACAACCTGAAAACAAACCAAGCACCTCATTAGAGAACCAGGGTGTGGAAGACCAAGAGCAAGGGGAAAGACTGTGGTGCAAAGGACACTTGTCACTCATGACACCAGTCAGCTCTGCCATGTGGCTAATCAGTGGGGCAGGAGTAACATTGTAATGCCGCTTGTTTATTCTAAGTGGCAAACGAGAGGCACCGCACAGAAACAAACCTGGGCGATAAAACAAAGCCATTGCCACCTGAGACCCAAGCATGGCACACTATCAGCTCAGGATAAAACAGGGAGTGCCAGCACAGCTTTGCCTCATGGGTGAGCAGACATGCTGCTCCCTGAGCCTTAACTCACAGCTCCCCGAGAACCATGGCTGTAAACCCTAAAGCTCTGGCTTGGGAATCTGGTCAGAAAGTGAACTTTCCCAGGAAGAATGTGCCAATTCTGAGGACAAAGGGTCCCTGATCAGAGTGTTCCCCTTGCCCAAACTCTGAGGGTCCACAGTCAAGCTTCTGAAGCCAAATCTAGCTTGTGACTCACAATTGCAGCCCCCAGTGTCCACCCAGACTCTTGCTTTTCAATTCTCTCTTGTCCCCCACGAATTAGGTTCCATGTGTTGTCTCCATTACTCTAGGTAGCATGGCAGCAGTCTATCTACCTGTGCCCTCTGAGAAGGACACGAAGACAAAGAATAGTAGGTGGGACATGGCAGACCACTGTCCAGGTCTCCAGCCTTGTGGACAACCTGTTCTTGCACCTCCTGAGCCAGGAAGAACACACTGAGGGTATGAGGCACTCCTGTGCTCTTCACTGTTTCTGCAGGAGCCAGACATAAGTTTCCAGCTGGTTAAGGTAGCTTGCTTTGGCTTAAGGTTTGGATTCTGCCGCACCAGTGTTCAGAGGTAGGATCTGGGTACATGACTGGACATCAAGGGCTGTGACCCTATTGGTAGTTTGTCTACTGAGCTGCAATGCCTTAGTGACATTGGGAGATGGTGGAAATGCTAAGAGCCGAGGTTGGGTGGAAGTAGGTAGGGTTACCAATGAAGGAAGTCTCTGGTCCCTTTTCTCTCTGCTCTGGGACCACCATGGGGCAAGCAGCCCTGAGTCTCCACATCCTCCCTGCTGGGATGTCCTGATTCACCAGTCCAGAGACGATGGAGCCAAATGATCCTGGGCAGAAACTCTGAGACACGAGCTACAGTCAATCTTTCCCCACTAGGATATGTCTCAGTGATAAAAGTCTGACCAGTGCACGACTAGACACACTCCTGTCAGCAGCTGGCTGTAAGACAGCATAGTGCATCCCCACTCATGAACTTCTCTTTACCACAGCCACAGAGGATGTGTCCCCTTCACTGGTGGCACATTCTCCTGTTTGTTTTGCTCATCACGTGCAGCTCACAGGCTCCCACTAAGGCACAAAGGCAGTGAGGGCTTGTGGAACTCCA